TATGCGATGGGTTTTGGTTGCACGACTTGAGCAAACATCGCACAATTCGGATCTCTGGTGATTAAAATTACCAAATTATCCGGAAGCAAACTGGTATCAAAATGGTGTTTGCGAAGGTTTCGGTAGTCCCCCATTGAAGAAAAAAGACAAAAACATATCAACAATTATCAAGGCCATTCGTTGTCGAAACTTTTCGACGGATTGAAAACATCAATTTGAGCGAAGTTTACGAGCATTGCGGGTGGATGCGTCAAGGCTTTTTCAATCCTGTTAGACCGCTATTAAAGGCAGCAACGCACTGTAAACGTACAGGCGCTGTCTGGATCCGATGACCTGGTGTTTGTGGAACTTTCAGTCAATAGAGATGAATAGTATGGAGTTACGAAACACGAAACCCTCAAAATATATGGAGTTACGAAACAAACTTGTTTCGTAAAGCCTAAATATGTAAATCAAATTTCTTAAAGTTTGTATGCTTCTGGAAATATGCTACCTACCATATTTTGCTTTTACGAAACTCAGGCATCTGGAAAGACTTTTCTATAGATTCTTAATTATTCACTCTGGCTGTGGCGCAATGGCCAGTCGGAGTCACTTGGAGATAGCTGCAAAGTGAAAGCATGAGGAAATCAATACGCCTGTGGAGCTGGGCGACGACATAATTGCTTTCCGCGTGGTCAGCAGCACGAGGAGGCAAGTCGTCACGACGATTGCACGATTGACACGTCGGTTGGAATAGGACCACCCGTCGTGTGTGGTCGGAGGAGCCATAATTCTACCCCTCAACGTGTCGGTATGTAGGGCCATGTTACAACACTCAAGCATCAAGAGAAATCGCTTCTGCACGGATTGCATTCCACTAAAATACATCTCATTCACCACCATTAGTGTCGTCTACTACTCCGTTCCACAAAAACTGTCAGGTAGTTATTCACTTGATTAAAGTATACACAGGGCAATTGAAATGACTTGATTTTTGTATGCCACTTCAAAACTACATAACCCGCTCCAGTAATTTTATTGTATTTTTTAATGTCTCATTCAAGAGAATTGACCATGGCATCGAGGTGAACCTCCTCACCAAGTCGGCTATTCAAATGA